TTATTTAGGAAATCCGGTGGATATTCTAAATGGGGGATTCTGGTAGAATGCTGTTGTAGGATGCTGTGATAGGATGCTGTGCCAGGATGCTGTGGCAGGATGCTGTTGCAGGATGCTGTGGCAGGATACTGTGCCAGGATGCTGCGGCAGGATGCTGCGGCAGGATGCTGTTGCAGGATGCTGTTGCAGGATACTGTGCCAGGATACTGTGGCAGGATGCTGCGGCAGGATACTGTGGGAGGATGCTGTAGCAGGATGCTGTGGTAGGATGCTGTGCCAGGATGCTGCGGCAGGATACTGTGGGAGGATGCTGTAGCAGGATGCTGTGGTAGGATGCTGTGCCAGGATGCTGCGGCAGGATACTGTGTCAGGATGCTGCGGCAGGATACTGTGGGAGGATGCTGTAGCAGGATGCTGTGGTAGGATGCTGTGCCAGGATGCTGTGCCAGGATACTGTGCCAGGATGCTGTGCCAGGATGCTGTGGCAGGATACGTGTTTACATCGGGGGTGACAGTCCGGTGATCTAGTCCATCAACAAAGGTTGCAATGCAAGCTGCACATCACGCTAGTCAAACATGTGTGCCTGGCCGATTGTCACGTTGAGAACCTTATAGTCAATCGGACTGTCATCGATGATAGCTATACCACGAAGCTTATCAGGTAAACTAAATCAATGACAACACTTAGCCTATCCTTACCGAGGCCTATTTATACACCCCCACAATATGTATTTCTGCTTGAGAACACGATATGATGACCATTATCAAGTCGATAGTGATAATCGACTTGATAAGAGTCTTAGGACGGACCGAAACGTCGTCGTCTCATCATTTTCTGGTGTGTGGTTTGGTCATTATCGTTTTTATTTACAATGTTAGTCGGGTGCCAAGTGTATCAGTCAAATTCTGACTTTGTATAGTCTTTCACGGAATGGAGGATGGGTTGTGTTGTCCCTAGATTGAATTACTAGTGGCTGCAGTTCAGGGTCTGCCAGTGCAGACCGCTTATCGCATGCCTCTGTATGACTAACCATCCTGTGTGATGGGGATTTTTTAGCATCACATAGTTAGCTTTTTTGACACACTGTACTCCACTTCATATAGTCTAGGGTAGCTGCACTAATGCAGATGTACCTCATAACTTAATAAAAAAAAAAAAAATCAGGGTACTGAACATATGGCTCTGTAAGACTAACCACCCTACGAGATGGGGACTTTTAGTATCACTGCTATCTTATTCACTCTTGTGTTGATGATATCCTCATAATGAACCTAGAGTCTGTCAGAGCAGACTACTTATCACGTGCCTCTGTATGACTAACCATCCTGTGTGATGAGGATTTTTTGGCATCACGTAGCTAGCTTTTTGACACACTGTACTCCCCTTCATATAGTCAAGGGCAGCTGCACAGATGCAGATGTACCTAATGTATTAATAAAAAAAATCAAGATCACGTAGCTAGCTTTTTGACACACTGTACTCCCCTTCATATAGTCTAAAGCAGCTGCACAAATGCTGATGTACCTAAATGTGTTAAAAAAAAATCAGAGAATAACTTGCAATTACCCAGACTAGACTGCAAGCTCGACTTGATTCACTCGCTATTACGACCCCTTCCAAGTGCTATATAGTCGTAATGATTTGGCGCTTTCTCCTGATATTTCCTTCCTTCCTTCACTCGCTGCTAAAATCATTGAATGTGGTCTTGTCATCTCTATAACTAAATCCAGAGCTCTCCATTCTCAAGAGAAAACTCATGTCCCTATAACTTTCAAGGTCAACGACCAGAACATTGTTGACACGCAAGACACATACTAGAAGGTGAAGGGACGACGACGTTTCGGTCCGTCCTGGACCATTCTCACGTCGATTGTGGTCCAGAATGGTCCAGGACGGACCGAAACGTCGTCGTCCCTTCACCGTGTAGTGTGTCAACATACTTCAGTCACGTTATTGTGACTCATCGCCTACAACCAGATCATTGAAACGTGTAGGCAGCACAAATACCTTGGAGGTGGTATTAACAGTGACATTGTAAACGGTCTACACCGTAGGTTAAAAGACTCAAACTACTGAAAACTCTTATTGGAATGAATATTGGTATCATTGTTATATATGCTAGATTATTCTAAGTGATGTTTGTTAGATCTATATTTGATTATTATGCCTTGCAGTTGATTAACTGCCTCGCCTCTGTTTTGAACAAACTAGAAGTAGTACAGAATGAAGCCATGAAGGTAATTCTTGGTGCCCCAAGATGCACAAAAATCATCAACGTGAGGAAAGAACTGAAGCTTCCAACCATACTAGAGAGAATCATGCAAGTCAACACTGCCCGAAACGCTTTGCGTAATAGTGGCTTTAGGCATTGTATGTACTAGCCCTATCTATAAATCCATCACTCTTTGTAAAATCTCTTGTATGTATGTACCTTACCTAAATAAACATTTGTTTTGATTTGATTTGATTTGAACACGACCATTTGCCTTAAAGTCACCTACATCTCCAAAATTGCTCAGAGACGAATTATTCTGTGCTGTTAACACCCTATTGACTGGTGCCAACATACCAACTCACTCCTTATGTGATAAATAGCTGAGTAAAGATGCTTACAAAATCATCCAGCTGAACATTTCTATTAAATGTAATCTACCTATCACTGATATTCCTCTTTATCTGTGCCCCACCATTCAAGTATCATATACACCTATCAGCAAGAAAGGTAATGAGAATCTTGCTTTTCTCAAAGCTGTCACACTTGAAGGAATTGCCTCCTCCATCGAAAATCTCAGATCTCACGAGCACTGTGTCTACACTGACGTCCAATCCTCTACTGGACGGACTGCAGCAGCATGTAGGTTTTATAGAAATAATATTTGCACACAGACTGTCAGTGTCAGGTTAAACAACTGGCTGACCTCCACACAAGCAGAACTAGCAGCATTACAACTAGCTACCAGTACATTTAAAAACACAGGAGGAGGAATAATACTTTATGATTCAAAGTCTGCTCTTCAAGTAATTGAAAACGTCTTTTGCACGATCGACAGCATGCGCCTCATTCAAGCAATTGTAATTGACCTGATCGCTGCAGAAAGTAAAGGTTTAAAATATGTTTTGAATGGATATCATCTCTCATAAATAATACCCATCATAATGACACAGACATTGCAGCCAAATTAGCCTTTAACAAAGTTGAAGTTGAATTAAACCTAGGTATCCTCATCTCTGTTGTCAAGACAGTATGGTTTCAAAACAGGTCTAATAGGAGAGAAACTATTGACTGCCAAAGGCCTGAAAGCACCCAGTATAAAAAGCCATGATTTGTTCAGATCCAAAACCTATGTTTATGGGCAGCACGAAACGTCCACCAGACTGTGTGACACAGTGGTTGCCAGGATCAGGTTGGGTTACCGTTACCTGTGGCAGGTGGCTACAGGTGACGGATCTCCCTATCCTTAGCACTCCAGGTGCAAACTCTTGTGAGCAGGAACTGCGGCATGATCTCCTACACTACATCACCGAATGCCCAGTCATTAAACCCTTCAGAGCCGTTGACATGAGGTACCCGGAGCTTTGCAATCACTTCACTCTCGTGTGCTTGATTATATCCTCATAATGCATCCAGAGTCTGCCAGTGCAGACTACTGATCACATGGCCCTGTATGACTAACAATCCTGTGTGATGAGGATTTTTAGCATCACGTAGCTAGTTCTTGACACACTGTACTCCCCTTCATATAATCTATGGTAGCTGCTCAAATGCACATGCACCTAAATGTGTTAATAAAAATAAAATAAATGTACCTTGTTAACTCCTGGATATGTGATATAGTATGTGGTAGCGAACATAAATCACCTAATTCTTATTTTTGAAATATGGGCTGGTATTTTTGCCTTTGCTGGGGGCCTAACCATAAAAAGTTGTGCATTGTTGGTGTGCCGACGTCAATGACCTTGCTCTTGCCACGGCAAGAAAATACTACAATGAAGACCACACACTAGAAATTGAAGGGACGACGACGTTTCGGTCCGTCCTGGACCATTCTCAAGTCGATTGTCAAGACAATCTCAAGACAATCGACTTGAGAATGGTCCAGGACGGACCGAAACGTCGTCGTCCCTTCAATTTCTAGTGTGTGGTCTGGTCAACATACTTCAGCCACGTTATTGTGACTCATCGCCTGCCTACTACAATGAATCTAATCTTTTACTTGGGGGGGTTGCTGTAGGTGCGTGTTTCTGAAGCTGGGTCTTCCTGTAGGTGGTTAGAAATATCGAACTCCCAACCTAAGATACCTTTCTGGTATCTTAGTTCTATATTTCTCTTTGTAAACTCTTTTCTAAACAGAAAGAGGTCTGGATAGGCGCTGTAAATTAACAATACCACATGTGTGTATCGTTTTATGTATCCTGTGGGTGGATGTTGTGTCTGGTTAGTGAAGCTGTATCATTTGTATTCCAGATGTATACAGTTGCTAGCGTTTTGCATTGCAATCTTTGTACATCTGTACTGATTTTGGCGATTATTGCTGTGGGTGACTAGTATTGCATGCGGGGATTGCTTTGCAGCGAGTCAATTGTTATAAGAAGGAAGTATCGTAGATGTTGAGAGGTATCGTGTAGCACTGCTGGTGGCAGTAGAAATACGATATATCCCTTCTACTGTAGCCTTAGCATTAAGAGATCGCTCTCAACAAACCTTTTTTCATATACAAATTTTTGATAGTTCTATTATTGTGTCGTATTTCCTCCTCCATCTTGACATTTTGAGTTTAATTTACCAAAATAACGAATCAACTATATTAATAAGAATACGAACACACCAGTAACTATGATTTTTTAAAACTATATTTGTTGTGGGATATTAGTAATATATGATTTCTTTTACAATGCAGGAAATAGGTAAGTTAGGGGTGTAGAGCGGGAAGTAGCGTGTCCAGGGCGCTGGGATATGGTTATCCTGTCGGGAGGCGGGATTTATCCTGGCGGACGCCCGCTGTGAGAGTAGCGCCGTCCGCGGGTATATAAGGAGGCGGCGACAGCAACTCGGCTCAGTGCACAGTTTGGCTGGGAGTCACCATGACCAGATTACGAGTCGCGGTTCTATCGCTTGCCCTTCTTGGCATTGGTAAGTAGTGGGGGGGGGGGGGTATTGGATATCTCAGTGAGAGAGATATATAGATATATATATATATACAAGGCTGAAATTCAGTGTCAAGATGCCTCTTCGCAGTGAATACTTATCATACCTCTCTCAAGAAAGTGTGTCGTAGAGGCGATAGTGTTTGTCCTATTTTTATCATGTCTCTCTTAAAAAGACTGTTCCAAGTGTGCTCACGTTGTATCAGGAGAAAGTGAACCAGTGTCTCACCTTCACCCAGGCTAAACAATACCGGGAATATATCAGTTTGGCTCCAAGAAGGGAGTTTGGCTCCCTACCTTTAGAGAGTTGAAGTCACCATATGTTAGGCAGCCAACGGCTTTCACAACCCCGACAATCGTCTATCAGCCCATAATCGAGCTAATATCAAAGTTCCTTATTGCATTTGCCCGAAGACAGATTGCGTTAAATATAATTTCATGTAAACCAAACAAAAAATGCATTTCTTAGAATTTTTTCTTGACTAGAAGGAGATTGCGAAACGTGCTAGTGTTACAAACTTACCTAATTCAGACTAGGATTTTAGTCGTCATTGTCTTTATTTAGTGCTAATGGAGAATTATTTGACGATCGTGAATGTCTAACAAACATTAGATCAAAATCAGTATTTTAAGTTACAGTAAATCGCTAGAATCAGACGAGACAGATGGTCTTTAATTCCCTAATATCGCACGATAATATGGTGCTACAAACGCCATTATCGCGTGACATAAATTCTAGAGATAAATATATATATATATATATATATATATATATATATATATATATATATATATATATATATATATATATTAACTTCGCGTGAAATAAATTATAGATAGGTATATTAATTCGTGTGAGATCATTTATAGAGATAAATAGATATTAATTCGCGTGAGATAAATAAATCCACTAGCCATTAAAATGAAGTCAAAATATTTTCCATAAATCGGCAAAATGAAGTGAAGTTAATTTTTTTTTTACAAAATCCTCATACCTGCGGCACCTTTGACTTATTCACATACTGGACTTGATGGAGTCACGATAACTAAAGAACGATAGTCAAAAAATCGAAACTAAATTATAATTTACACAATGAAATGCCAGTAACGTGATGTATTTAGGAGACAATGTTTGGAGCAGGAGGATTGGGTTCGAACCTGCGTCTGCGGTAGACCCAGGATGTTGCTGGTTCCATCACGCCGTGATGAGTCAAAAAAATGTTCCACTGATTTTATACTTATTTATAAAACACAGTCAAATGTATTTTTTGGGGCCTTGTGGACAAATGCCTTCGATATATGCTGAGTTTGGGACCGCTAAAGCTCTACGCTTTAATAGTTGGTTGCTTCTTGCTTTACTTTTACCTTCACCAGCCACACCCCTTACACCCCACTCTGTCCCTCTTACACCCACTCTATTCATCTTACACCCACTCTATTCCTCTTACACCCACTCTATTCCTCTTACACCCACTCTATTCCTCTTACACCCACTCTATTCCTCTTACACCCCACTCTATCCCTCTTACACCCACTCTATTCCTCTTACACCCACTCTATTCCTCTTACACCCACTCTATTCCTCTTACACCCACTCTATTCCTCTTGCACCCACTCTATCCCTCTTACACCCACTCTATTCCTCTTACACCCACTCTATTCCTCTTACACCCACTCTATCCCTCTTACACCCACTCTATTCCTCTTACACCCACTCTATCCTGCTTCCTTGCATCTTCTGAACCCTCTTTTTTTCTCCTTATCATCTGTCAACAGTTATTATCCATCCCTCTCCCAAAACCCTCCCACACCCTCTTCTCTCTCTCTCTCTGTCTCTGTCTGTCTGTCTGTCTGTCTGTCTGTCTGTCTGTCTGTCTGTCTGTCTGTCTGTCTGTCTGTCTGTCTGTCTGTCTGTCTGTCTCTGTCTCTGTCTCTGTGTCTCTCTCTCTCTCTCTCTCTCTCTCCCCCTCTCTCTCCCCCATCACCACTCCCTCTTCCCGACCCACTTTCCTGCAGCCCCCCTGGCCGCATCCTATAAACCCACACCCACCCCACCACAAAAGCCCACTTACCCCCCCCTCCCCCCAACACCCCCCTTCCTCCATCTCCCAACCACCCCTTTCTCTCTCCCTCTCTGGCTTTAATCCACCCAACCCCCGGTTTCCCATTTTTCCGAACTGATTATTTCACATAAATACGTTTTAAGGTCACACACAGAGATCACACTAACGTGATGCATCAAATTAACAAATCCACAAGGGATTTTACCCTGTCGTAGCTCAGTCGATTAAGGCAGCGTCTGGGATGCTCCCGGACGCAGGTTCGAATCCTCGTCACGGCCCTTGTGGATTTGTTCACTTTTTAAGGTAATTATTGACAAGCAGGTGATGGAGCCTCGCGCCTCCAGGAACATACCTTAAACCATCAGTGATTTTTAGTTAGATTTTTAGATTCTAAGTTAGATTTCCCCCCCCCCCCTGCTGTAAGCAGCTATAACTGAAGAAAGTCTACGGTTAGACTTTGCCTTATGCCACAATCGTAATGGTCCAGGGGCCAGATTCACGAAAGCACTTACGAACGTGTACATCTTTCCTCAATCTTTGACGGCTTTGGTTACATTTATTAAACAGTTTACAAGCATGAAAACTTGCCAATCAACTGTTGTTATTGTTATAAACAGCCTCCTGGTGCTTCGGAGCTCATTAACTGTTTAATAATTGGAAACAAAGCCGCCAAAGATTGAGAAAAGATGTACAGGTTCGTAAGTGCTTGCGTAAGTGCTTTCGTGAATCTGGCCCCAGGACGGATCCAAACGTCGTCGTCTCTTCAGTTTCTAGTGTGTGGTTTGGTCAACACTTTGCCTTAAATTTTGTGATAAGTCTTGTCAAAGGCTTCACGGCTCTTGAAGATCAGAAATTGATTCTCATATTTAATATAGAGCACAAACACTAAATTTAAAGTGTTTACTAGTTGTGTTTTTGCGGGGGTTGAGCTTTGCTCTTTCGGCCCGCCTCTCAACTGTCAATCAACTGTTTACTAACTACTTTTTTTTTTTTTTCCACACCACACTAAACTAAATTTAAAGTGTGCTTAAGTACTGGGTAGAATACCGCCGCTTCACACGAGGAGCCTAGAACTTTAGGCTCTAAGATCTATGTATATTCGCTCGCTAGAGAAGATTCCCCGTTCCTGCTAACTTCCAGTCAGCAGTTAAGCAGACGGCAACTTTCTAGAGAACTCTGATTTTGTTACCCGATTTTCTGATTTATATCGTCTGCGTTAGCTAACTTTAAGTGCTGTTAAATGTGAAACATGGTATTCTTTCTTCAGCCAATAGATCATATGCAGTTTCCTATATTTTTTTAGGTTAACAATATCTTAATTTTTATTTAAGAGTATAAAATCAATTTATGTTTTAATATATATGGGTACCACCTTTGGTGCATTTGTGGGGACCCATAGCCTCGAAGTAGGGAATAAAGAGTATTGAGTGTTTGTATGTATGTATGTATGTATGTATGTATGTATGTATGTATGTATGTATGTATGTATGTATGTATGTATGTATGTATGTATGTAGTGCTTGCAGGGCTTCAGCTTCGGCTCTTTGGTCCCGCCTCTCAACTGACAATCAACTGATGTACAGTTTCCTGAGATGTATGTATGAATATGTGTGTGTGTGTGTGTGTGTGTGTGTGTGTGTGTGTGTGTGTGTGTGTGTGTGTGTGTGTGTGTGTGTGTGTGTGTGTGTGTGAGGTGTCTGTAAATAGGTGTTTTTTTCTGAATGTGACTGTATTTATGGCTGCAAATGCGATCGTATGGGCTGTCAGTCAACAAGTTCACCTATGTTTGTGACTACATTTGTGAGCTCTGATGTGCATGTCTGTGTAATCTGCGGTGTTGATTTTAGTCTGCTGATTGTGCAGTCTTCTGTGTTTATGTGAGCAGTATTCCCCCCATCAGTCTGTTGTGCTTGTGTCTGCTTTACAGTCTGTGTTTCTTTGGGTATTATGCTGTGTATGTCTGCTGACATTTGTAAGTGGTTAATCCTGCCGTTTGCTATGCTTCCTCTGGCCTGCTATGCTGATGTTGTCTTTTGTACTGTATGCTATAGTCTGCTATGCTGTCATGCTGTGTTGTCTGGTTGTATGAGCTGCTGTGTTTGTGCAGTGTGACATGCTGTAGTTGCGTGGTTTGCTGTGATGTCAGTGTAGTCAAGTGCTCGTGTGATTGGTTGCATTTGTTTTGTAGTCTACTGTATTTGATCTGTTTATGCTTGGAATGCTGCTCTTGTGTGAGCAGCATTGTTTATGTGATCATCTACTTTCTTTTGTTTGTTTGACCTGATGTTTGCTTGATTTTCTCAATATATATAGTCGGTTAAAACTGTGTATTTTCATATGCTTGAGAGGTTTACAATACTTGTGTGTGTGGCTGTTTTGTGTTTGCATGGAGTGGTGCTGTGTTTGTGTGGTCCGGGTTGCTTGTGGGCGTGTGTGGGTGCATTCACGTTATGTTTGTGTGTGTGTGTACATGCATTTTATGATTGTGTATGTGCATGCATGCTGCACGTTTCTGTGTGCATGTATGCTGCGCGTTTCTGTGTGCATGTATGCTGCACGTTTCTGTGTGCATGCATGCTGCACGTTTCTGTGTGCATGCATGCTGCACGTTTCTGTGTGCATGCATGCTGCGCTTTTCTGTGTGCATGCATGCTGCACGTTTCTGTGTGCATGTATGCTGCACGTTTCTGTGTGCATGTATGCTGCACGTTTCTGTGTGCATGTATGCTGCGCGTTTCTGTGTGCATGTATGCTATCTTCGTGTGTGTGTGTGCATGCATGATATATTTGTGCATATATGGTGTGCATATATAAGGTATTGGGCCTCTCCCCACACTAACTACTCCCTTTAACTTGTAACTTTTCTCCTGCTATACTATTAACTCCACACACTATTTTCAGGACCAAACTAGATTTGCTAGTTAGTTAGAAAGTTATTCTAGTGTCCTTAGTAACTCTCCAGAGGATGATAGGCCTGAAAGCACCCAAGACATAACCAGTAGTTGAAGTAACGATGTGTTCTTTAACCCTTACAGTTGCCGGAGATGTGGTAAAGCGACAGGCTGTCAGCGAGAACACGGAGGAAGAAGCAGAAGCTTTCGCTAAGGCATTATGTTTGGACAAGGGCCCCGGCGAATGGTTCAGGCTCGCAGTCAGAGATTGTCGAGATGTGATCCAGTGCACAGAAGCCGTAAGTAATCTTTCCGTCAAGTCCCACTTGTACCCCTTCTCAAGTCCCTGCCTCTCCCTCTCTCTCTCTCTCTCCACTCCCAGCTTCACAGGAGCAAGAAGATCCACGTACAATGATACACGCCCACACCCCACGCCCACGTGAAGTTTCATCAATTCACCCACGCCCACGTGAAGTTTCATCAATTCACCCACGCCCACGTGATGTTTCATCAATTCACCCACGCCCACGTGGAGTTTCATCAATTCACCCACGCCCACGTGGAGTTTCATCAATTCACCCACGCCCACAACCACATTCCGTACGGGTCTTGCCACAGCTACATAATAGGACCATTTTTTTATTATTATTAAAGGTTACTGGTACATATCTGTTGCGTTCACTTGCCTGATTCTTGTCAGTCAACTGTCTCCTTATCAAGATCTTCTTTTCCTTATCTTGTTCTATTTTATTCTCCCCCTTTCTTCTCTCATATTCTCTCTTATTCTTACTTTCCTCTCTATTTATTTTCCTTATCTTTCTTTTCTCAGTCGCCTCTCCCCCATTTTGTTTCATCTCTTTCTTCTCTCTAGCTCTTTTTCTCTCCCTCTTAGTGACGAAACACGTGGATCCTCACATGGTTATCGTAGCTGGAAACGATAACTGAGGTTATCGTATATCGTATATATCGTATATACGTATATCGTATATCGTATATAAGTCTAACCGATAACGAGGTTATCGGTTAGACGTATATCTTGTAACAGCCGACTGGTCTTTGGGACTTGGTCTCTGGACTTGATCTTTGGACTTGGTCTGTAGACTTGATCTTTGGACTTGGTCTTTGTCATTGACGGTTGCCAACCGATGCTAACAGCAGTATATAGTTATCTGCCTCGGTGGCAATTACTGTGACTGCTGCTTTGCGTGGTCGTCAAGCAGACAACCGCAAGCAATCACCAGTCATGATGATAGTGGTGGTGGTGGGTGGTGACTGGTGATGTCATCCTTAAGTCATTTCCCGCGGTGTGTGGGGGGGGGGGAGGTGGTGATTCTTGAGCAATCTGGTGAGGGAGAGGCATGACAGAGACGGTGGAAAGGAAGAAGGAGGATGAGAGATAAAGAGATGATAAAGATGAAGGGAAGATCTCACGAGGAAGGTGGATAAGGATAATGAACGTGAAGAGAGAGAGATAACGAAGATATGTGGATATCGTGAAGGAAAATGAAGATATGTTGACCAGACCACACACTAGAAATTGAAGGGACGACGACGTTTCGGTCCGTCCTGGACCATTCTCAAGTCGATTGAGAATGGTCCAGGACGGACCGAAACGTCGTCGTCCCTTCAATTTCTAGTGTGTGGTCTGGTCAACATACTTCAGCCACGTTATTGTGACTCATCGCCTGGAAAATGAAGATAGTTAGATTTTAATGGTGAAAGTTGTTTGATATAAAGAACTTCACAATTTTATATAAATTGTTAAGTTAGATGTTATATAGTAAAGGAAGGGAAGGAACAGTGCAGAGAGAGAGGTGAGCCGCAACTCACAAGATCAGAGAGACTTATGTAAGACTGTAACTTGAAACCTCGCGTGAGTTAAGAACAAAGGTGGAGACTTATTTTAAAAGTCGTGCTTAAGCCAAAAGCAAAAGTGGAAGTCTATATGAAGCCTAACCCGAGCCAAAGCCTTATACATGCTACACAACTATAGCAATCGTGCAGGGCATCGTTCTAAACTAGTATCAACGGCATTTTTATACTGCTGGTTCAAACAGATGGCAGAATTTGGCTTTGAAATTGAAATTGAAATCAGTTTATTGAGGTAAAATACACACAAAGGGATGAGGTAGCGCAAGCTATTCTCACCCCGTTCAGTACATCGTGTTAATACATACATAGACACACATCACAAGCAATAAACATATTACCGAACATTCTGAGAGAATTTGGCTTTGCATGCTTTAGATATAGCACGATTTACAACAGGAGCAACGAGACACAGGAGCCAAGTATGTGTCCAGCGCCCCCACGGAGAATCAGCAACAGAAGGGAGCCGCAAACCCACAACAATGGAATTGTCAAGCATGACCACCGCGCACGCCAGGTGGAAAAGGTCTCTGACGGCTCATGCCTTCTGGAAACTTTCCCTCGCGTGGGGCTCCCAAGGTCTGCCGGCTTCTGATGGCCGGCAACAGCGGTTAGAACAGGGGAGAGAGAGAGAGAGAGAGAGGTGGGGAGGCCAGGTCCAGTTGTGTGTGGCGGAGCAAGGGGGATGGGGGTGGTTGCTGGGGGTGCGACCAGAGACCGGTCTTTGAGGTAACGGGAGTGGGTGGGTGAGAGAGAGAGAGGGTGGTGGGTGATGCAGGGGTTAAGGGGGGAGAGATTAGTTTAAAGGACACCCTCATACTGTCAGATGAGGGTGGACAGAGCAGGCAGGTTAGTATGATTGGCTCCTAAGTAGTCAAGGAGAAGTTTTAACTCGTCAAAATCATAACCTCGAACTTAGCCTTCTAGTTCTCTCACTAGACGATACACTCAAATCAAAATCACTTATACGCTCTAATGAATAAAAACTCTTAAATACATGTCGTTAGTTGAAGTAACATTTATACTTGTGCTGCGATTATATCCTTTGGCACTGGATGCCAGTTATCCGAGAAGTCCTGCAGGTAAATTTAGTGATTGGATAGTCTTGTCGTTTTAGGATGTTTCTGCAAACTGTGGAAAGATCTGTTGTTTCCTAAGGCCTACAAGTCAACGTTGGCGCAGTGGTAACACACTAGCTCCGCGCTTCGCAAGCTATTTGGCCCAGGTTCCTATCCTGGTCGATGAGGACTGATTAGATGTCAATCCCTGTACCCCCTCTGTTCACCCAGCAGTGATTGGGTACCTGGTTATTAAACGATTAGCGGGTTGCATTCCAGGGAAAACTATAGTGAGTACAGCTTACCATGAGCTGTGGTAAGGCAGTCGTCTGTTCCTGTACCCACCCGTGTACAAAAAAATGTATTTAATTTTAGATTTAAAGTATTTATGGAAGATCTCGCAAGTTCTGGAAACACACATGTGACGGACACGCCACTGACTCCTGGCGGCTCCGTGTCCTGTCGTCACGGCCACGACTTAGACGTCGGACGAAGACACTGAAATAACACTATTGAGAGTGGCGAAACTCCGACACCCGCTTAACTACTTTCTCCAGCTAACCTGCAGATGGTGCCGGATTCCTGCTGGTCTGCTTACCTGCTCCTCGCAACCCTGTCCAATGGTCTGCTTGCCAGCCTGCTCAGTAGCCTGTATGACCAGTCCGGCAGCTCATGGCTGGCGCAATCCTCTATTCTCGCTTCACATTGGCTTTGATAAGATTATTTAAACAGCCTCGACAGTTCGAAAGGTCCAGGTTCAGATTAAATGCTCTTGTATATTCCTTGCTTGTGGGTCTCAGGTCCAGTTTATTATCTTACAGAAGTTTGGGATTCAATATGTTTAGTGTTCTTTCATAAAGTTACTTAAAGATTTTCTATCTTTTTCACTGATGTTTTGGCGTTCAAAAAGCAAGTTCAGTGGAATTATATTAACAAGGTTGTGCTAAAATTGCGTTAATAAGTTTGATTATTGTTAAACTCGTGTTAATTGTGAAAGTTTCTGGTATATAATGAGAGCTGTGTACGTTCCTCACATTTTATAATGAGGCGAGGTCCCTAATCTCTACTGATGGTTCATTATTACTATCTATAGTTCTCATTTAAATAATACGTATTTAAGATTAATTGCAACTCTTGCACACTTAACTCACAACACTTATACATTAGACTACCAATTCTCCAGCTAAACTTACACCTCTTCAATAACGATAATAAAAGCGCTTGAATTCAACTCTTAGCTCTTAAACTAAACTCTTAGCTCTTTAATTCAACTCGCAGCTTCTCAACTAAATTCACAGCTCTTGAACTAAACTCACAGCTCCTGAACTAAGTTCACAGCTCTTGAACTAAGCTCACAGCCCTTGAACTAAACTCTTAGCTCCTGAACTAAGCTCACAGCCCTTGAACTAAACTCTTAGCTCCTGAACTAAGTTCACAGCCCCTGAACTAAACTCTTAGCTCCTGAACTAAGCTCACAGCTCTTGAACTAAACTCTTAGCTTCTGAACTAAGCTCTTAGCTCTTGAACTAAACAACAGATCCTAAGAGATGCTGGCTAAACTGCCATTTTTAATATACATCATTAATAAACCAACATCTGGCCTATTATGCGAGCTACACATCTGTTGACCATTCTTGGAGATGTGAGGCTTGAGAGACTGGGAATACGAGGTATGCACTCTTAAGCAACTTCCTGCAAGGAGGTACAGTTATTGAACAGAGGTGCGCGTCACCTCAGCCCCCAAGGTTACTTGGAGGTCGCTTGACACCCTCTCCCTTTCACTCTCCTGGCCAAGTCCTTGGTTCGAGGCTCCATCCTAGCTTCTACACCTCCTCCCAGCCGTCTTCCCTTCCTTCTCTCTCTCTTTCTCTCTCTCTCTCTCTCTCTCTCTCTCTCTCTCTCTCTCTCTCTCTCTCTCTCTCTCTCTCTCTCTCTCTCTCTCTCTCTCTCTCTCTCTCTCTCTCTCTCTCTCTCTCTCTCTCTCTCTCTCTCTCTCTCTCTCTCTCTCTCTCTCTCTCTCTCTCTCTCTCTCTCTCTCTCTCTCTCTCTCTCTCTCTCTCTCTCTCTTTTCATCTGACTGGCGTCCTCTAGGGCAAGATATATACTGTTTTTCGAGTATATTCATCACTTGCCAATGACCGATTTGTTACATTATTTTGTAGGTTAGATAATTCTTTGACTTTTGGGAAAGATGAGTATTAGAAAATCAACAAATATTACAGCCACACATGATGAAAAGATTGACACCATTACGGGTTACACAATAAATAAGATCAATTTAATGCCATTACTCTGTTGAAATTGTTGAAAGTCTTGATGGATAGGAGGAAATAAAATAACGGGAGTGAGAAATGTCTTGAAGGTCTAAATGCTTGCATTGTCAAATTACAGAACTATGGAAGATAATATTTCTCACTACAAAAGTGACATTTATGGCTGTTTCCAAGTGGCCTTCCTGAACAGTTTTTTTTTTGGTTCGTATGTTCACTGTTCACGCTGGAAAAGAACTGATCGATCACTGTAATATCTCACGCTCGTTACACTCGATGTCCTGAAAGTGTTACGTGAGGTTGTTTAGTATCATACAGGTTGTTTGGCGACTGGTTGTTTGAGAAGTGTTGATTGGTGGTAGGTTGTGGTTGTCGCGTGGGTCAACCCGTTCTCGCAAATTTAATAAGTCAATATTGACTTATTAAATATGTGCATAGGTGACATACTTAACATAATAGATACCCTTAAAAAGATTCATAGAAAACACCGACCTTACCTAACCTACTTAGTATGTTAAGAAAAGCATCTTATTGCTTCGTAATTACAATTATTACCTAACCTATAATAGGTATAGGTTAAGTAATAATTGTAATTACGAAGCAATACGATGCTTATCTTAAGATACTAACAAGGTTAGGTAAGGTCGGTGTTTTCTATGAATCTTTTTAAGGGTATCTATTATGTTTAGTATATCACCTATGCACGTAGTTAATAAGTCAATATTGACTTTACGAATTTGCGAGAACGGGTTGCGTGGGTAAGACTAGGGGGCTACAGCCACTCGCGAATTCGAAGTACTTGTAGTCAGCACACAGATGACAAAGGCTGCTGCATGTAGCGGAGTTGGTGGTGGTGGAAACTGTAGTCGGTGATGATGGACTTGAAGTAAGTGGGTGACGGTGCAGGTGGAGGACTTGAAGGCAATGTTTGCATGTGGTTTTGATCATGTTTGAGGTTGTGGAGATAGTAATGACGACAATGATGGTAGTCTCTTAAATAGACCCAGGCGACCTCACACTAGATACATCGTTCCACTTACTCCCAACCTGTCCAAGCACTTGGGCTGGACGGTAGAGCGATGGTCTCGCTTCATGCAGGTCAGCGTTCAATCCCCTACCGTCCAAGTGGTTGGGCACCATTCCTTCCCCCCGTCCCATCCCAAATCCTTATCCTGACCCCTTCCCAGTGCTATATAGCCGTAATTGCTTGGCGCTTTCCCCCTGATAATTCTTTCTTTCTTACGCCCAACCCCCTTCTTTCCCCTTCTTTACCCTCTCCTTCTTCCCCTCCCTATCCCCCTTCACCCTCTCTTCCCCATTTGTCTCCAGCTGCTCATGTCGCAACACCTTGAGAAAGTTCCTTACCGCTGTTATTCTCCGCAGACATACTTCTGACTCCATTATTTTCACAAGTGAAACTTGATTTTCCCCAGCAAGATAATAATGGTAGTTTCTCACGCGCATACCAGCGATGATGGACCAGATGTTGGGATATTATCTGAGTGTTGGGGACGGTGTTAGTCTCTCCCTTTGTCCTGGTCACACACCTTGTGTCCCCTCGTCCGGTATCTTATATACTGTGATCATGTCGCCTCTCATTCTTCTCTTTCAATGTTAGTTCATTTGACGTTTTCTCATATCTCATTTCTCTCATTTCTGATACCGGTCATGTGGCAGCAACTTAGATATTCTTAATTTTATGCTTGTGTCGTACCAGGTATTGGTTCTATGCTATAGCTGCATAATTGAATACTGGTCTAATATACGGCTTTTATAATATTTCGAAGAATTCCTGGGTCAGGTTCTTGAAAGTCATTCATATGTTTGTACTAGTCTTGCATATGATGCTGATGTTATTCTGTTAATGTGTGCCTCATTTTGCTTGGATTATACTCCAGTAGACATTCATCATCCCAATCCTGTACCCTGTCAAGGTCCTCCTGTAGCATTATGAAGTCAGCTTTGGTCGACACTCTTCTCATGTCTGCCGCCACACGCAGACATTAACATGCACGAGCCTCCCTTCTCTGCAAGGTTATTTACGTAAACTAGGAACAGTCGTAGTTTAAATATGTATTTGTAAGGAACTCCACAATCAAGTCCTGTATCTTCTGAGTTAGTTTAGCCAGTTTATTCAACTTGCGTAACAGTCACTTGCGGAGAACAGTATACAAATTTATTTTGGTATTTAGGAAACTGCAATCCATCCATTCCCTTTCTGAATCTTGGCAACATAAGAACATAAGAACATAAGAACATAAGAACATAAGAACATAAGAACAAAGGCAACTACAGAAGGCCTATTGGCCCATACGAGGCAGCTCCTGTCTATAACCACCCAATCCCAGTCATATACTAGTCATAAGAACATAAGAACAAAGGCAACTGCAGAAAGCCTATTGGCCCATACGAGGCAGCTCCTATTTATAACCACCCAATCCCACTCATATACTAGTCATAAGAACATAAGAACAAAGGCAACTGCAGAAGGCCTATTGGCTCCATACGAGGCAGCTCCTATTTATAACCACCCAATCCCACTCATATACATGTCCAACCCGCGCTTGAAACAATCGAGGGGCCCCACCTCCACAATAAGAACATATTATGTCACAATATGCCAACCTTGGCACAGATCTCAACCAGGTTCGTAGGACATTCCTTTTCCTTTCTAAAACAATGCTGTCTCTCAGACACACACACGTAGTCTTCTCTAGATGTTCTGCTTTCCTTATTCTAATTATTTCCCCAAGGTCTTTTGCAACGTATATAAGTCAGTGACACAGATATGTTAAATTTTCATACCTGCTTTCTTTCCTGATTAAGCAGTTTTTTCAGGTCTCTGAAAGGTTCCTATTCGCTAGCAGCATACCCGCCAAACACACACCGAAACTACGACGTTGGTACAACGTTCGAACAAGTTTTAACACCTCCTAACCAGTTATAACAACCAATATAACAAGTTGTAACAACGTTCTAATACGTCATAAACACGTTAAGCCAAGATGTAACAACTCTATTACATGTTGTAACAAGCGGAAAATAGAGACAGTTTCGGTTTGTGTTTCCAGGGTATAACAGACCCTAGACAGAGGGTTGCATAGACTCTGCTGTCTCTTTCAATATGCATGACACGATCTGGTCTGGCCCCTACTGCTTATAGTTTACTTACACTTTACAAGGAGATTCTGTACCTCTTCAGTTACTGTAAATACTGTATATTTCATAATATTTTCCATCCCTTTATATCCTGTACTAGTACCTCGACTTTAAAGACCTTGGTTATTGTGAAGACGTTTCCATCTTTTGTTCTGAAGATGTTCTCATCTTTTCTAAGTTCTGAAGGAGTTTCCATCTTTTGTTCTGAAGATGTTCTCATCTTTTCTAAGTTCTGAAGGAGTTTCCATCTTTTGTTCTGAAGATGTTCTCATCTTTTCTAAGTTCTGAAGGAGTTTCCATCTTTTGTTCTGAAGATGTTCTCATCTTTTCTAAGTTCTGAAGGAGTTTCCATCTTTTCTTATTTCGATTTGATTTTTGGTACAACAGTTTATGGCCTTAAGGGATTTATTCGTCAAAATGCGATGTACTGTTTGAGAGGAGGAGTTGTGGAGTCATCACTGTCTGAGTATAGGGAGAGGAAAATACTCGTATCATGGAATAGTTTGTGTACAGCATGTTGTTGGCTCGTTGTGAATGACAAACTCCGGTACTCTCTCTCGCCTACTAATATATCCTGGCAGTAGCAGCAGTAGCATTAGACGGGAGACATCTCCCGTCACGCAGGGTGCAGTCGCACCTCCACAGATCTCCAATATCAGCTAATGATACTGGTTATGGCTCAAAAGGGCCACCACTTACGGGCTATTCACGCCCGTGCCATCTTTTGGGTGGCTTTATCTTTATCAATCAGTAGCATCACTAGTAACACAAGCACCAGAAGCTCTACGTAACTGAAGCAACACTAGCATCGCCAGCAGCAACTGGCAAACCTGATCAATACTGCCTTTCACTTGTGTTGTCAAATAAGTTCAGAATGTAGACATTTCTACCACCCGCTAAAAAAAGTGCTTCTGACGGCCGCTAGAAACTGTACATCTAAGACCTGTTTATTTATCTGCACTTTCTGTTACAGACACACATGGCAATAATAGTCATTAATGTTAAAGGTTTTGATACTTCTGAATTTAATGTTAATAATTCTAAGAGAGTATGACATACAGCATGAAGAGACGTGAAAATGGTATTTCTCAAAGGTATTACGAACAATATATCAAGATCATCATACAACATATCATGAAACACAAAATAGAACTTATAGAATAGAACTTATTAATAGAACTTACAAAATAGAACTTATAGAATAGAACTTATTAATAGAACTTACAAAATAGAACTTATAGATCATAGAAACACAAAAACCAACTTACAGAGTGTTTTCCCCTACGTAGCCCCATTCTAAATAAGTGTCGTAGAAAGCGCCAACACAGGTAACCAATCAAGGCCACTTGCACATGCGCGCTCGGCAGCACCGGCCAATCAAGGCTGCGTATACATGTGACGTGTCATGTAAACATATAGCAGCCAACCAGTCAACGCTCCGAATAGATGCAACCAACCCTCTCGCATGTTGAATCCAACCATTCATATGATAACTTGGGTGATGGAACGGGGAGAAGGGACTTCGGTCTTGGATAGCTAACTTAAAAAAGCCTTCGTAAGACGCTAATGTAGAGAGAACAGTGGATTATAACGACCGTCTGCCAATAACCACCGCTCTCACAAGCCCCTTTTTTCCCGCCAACAGGGTCTTCAGGCTCTTCGTTGCCCTCACGGCCTGGCCTTCGATCTGGAACTGCAGACTTGCGACTGGAAGGCTAACGTAAAGAACTGCGCAGACAAGCAGAAGACCAGGAAGGTGAAACCGCTGCTCAACACCGTCGAACCTCTCTGCCAGGTAAGCCCAAACGTTTCTTGCACACCTTGCATGTCTTGTAATAATGATATAATCTGATTTACATCAGTGTTTACAGAATTCTATACATAAATTTCCGTGAGATATAGTTTTATTGGTTTTAAAACTTCCAGGTACGTGAGAAATGTCTATCGGCTGCCGTTAACTTATGATTCTTCTAATGCTGATTCTTTTATGTAATTCTTGTCAGATTACAGAACACAATAGGTGTACTGAGTGAAGATAGCGGCGAGATTTACGTATGTTGAATGTGTCCATGGTAAGGCGAGGTGTGTGTGTGTGTGTGTTTGTGTGTCTGTGTGTCTGTATGTGTGTGTGTGTGTGTGTGTGTGTGTGTGTGTGTGTGTGTGTGTGTGTGTGTGTGTGTGTGTGTGTGTGTGTGTGTGTGTGTGTGTGTGTGTGTGTGTGTGTGTGCGTGTGTGTGTGTGTGTGTGTGTGTGTGTGTGTGTGTGTGTGTGTGTGTGTGTGTGTGTGTGTGTGTGTGTGTGCGCGCTTTATACAGCTTTTGTTACATGTTTTCTAGAGTTTCGTGTATGTAAATAGTGCTATGCTGATTATCAATGTGTGCTTGATGATGATTGATTACAAGCTTGTTCGGAAAAGACAAGAAACCAGTGGAGAGAACATAGTCACAAAAAAAGTGAAGGAAACCGAACCTGTGAGACAGAGAAGAGCGTTCGGACGTGTCCGGATAAGTGAGTACTTACATAAACAACGGGACGTAGTATACATATTTTGATACGAATTACGGTATGCAAGAAACAGTGGTTTACACTCTTATGAATGAATTAGAATATTAGGTGAAGAAGCCTTACTGTTTTTTTATTGTTTAAGATGGACTAATGTTATTCCTAAACTGTGAGAGAAAACAGGTGGTCCTATAGATGTCAGGCTGATTATCTGTTCCATAACCGTAGGAGAACCAGCTTGCGTGCGGTAATGGAGAGTGCATTGACCGTAACTTGTTCTGCGACAGTAAACCCGACTGCAAGGATGGGTCCGACGAGAATGCGTGTGGTAGGTGTTCTTAAGTCCGACGTGTTCACCTTACTGTTGACGGAGCTCAGAACACCACCAGTACGACGTGTTCACCTCACTGTTGACGGAGCTCAGAACACCACCAGTACGACGTGTTCACCTCACTGTTGACGGAGCTCAGAACACCACCAGTACGACGTGTTCACCTCACTGTTGACGGAGCTCAGAACACCACCAGTACGACGTGTTCACCTTACTGTTGACGGAGCTCAGAACACCACCAGTACGACGTGTTCACCTCACAGTTGACGGAGCTCAGAACACCACCAGAAACAACAGCAAACAAAATACTATCTCGATGCTTTTGCGAATGTCGTGACTGCTATATTTTAGCCAATCTCTCATTTAGCGGCACCTATGCTTAAATAAAAACATTTAGAGCAAGGTAAGGTCAATCAAATGTCACTAGATCATAATCAAATGACCTTAGTTCTGTCTTTAGTGACCTTTGGCATCACCTTTATGGTGGCAGCAGAAGAAAGGGGTCATCTAGTGCTTAGTTTGCTCGGATAAATTCCCTTGAACTTTGTCTCGACTTCGCGAAAGCACCGAATACCCGCAAAAAAAAGAAGGGCTTGGGGAGAAACAGGAGAGGAACAGATATTTGACAGATACATCGATGGACTTCGGTTCGTCCATCGTCCACACCGCTCTGGGGCCCAAGGACGTCTCAGGCGTAGTAACACTGACTCCCTGCGGCGTTTTTGGTCCCTGAAGCAACGTAGAAGCGTAGGTTGGCGTAGGACATGTAGGGGGAACTAACTAGTAGTTCGTGGTAGTTCACCCTTTCACTGTACTCTTCCCCCCACCTCACACCCGGGCTGTGGCTTAATTTACAGGAGAACTTTTTGGCGTGTGGTGACAGTACCTGTATGGACAGGACTCTCTTCTGTGACGGCAAGAATGATTGTAGCGATGGCTCTGATGAAAACGCATGCGGTATGTACCCATGCTTGTGTTAATGGTCCGCCACGGCCCTACCAACTTCACCACCACGCCCCGATACTCTTATTCCTTCTCTCTCTCTCTCTCTACACCTGCCTGGCTTGCTCAGGAAGAAACTAACACGGAGTGTAACTTCTGGACTAAGTTGAAACCTCTAGTTAACTTAGAATCATATTTCTGGCTTAGGGAAACAACTTTGTTGACTAACAATACAAAGAAAGGTGTTAAACACGTGGCTTACGAGAGGTTGAACTTTTGATTATATTTACGGTGAAACTTACGGTGTAACACACTAACCCACAAGTCTACCAGCGTACTTACTGACCTACTGACTTACCGCCTACATCCGCTCTCTTTTACGTTTAACGCTTAGTTCACGCTACACTTATCAACCGCTTAAAATGACACTTACAAAATTAACTAAAGAAATATTGATGTAAGTCACTTTAAACCCCTAAAACAAAACATGGTCTATGGTCTCCTCTAATTGTAATAGCCACTGTTTGCGTTACTAATACTTAGATTAATTATTGTCTTCTATGCATTTTTACCCCCTAATATAGGCCTCTCCACTCTTCTATATACATCTAACTCACTCACACAAGCTAGTTGATCCTAGCTGCTGTCTTGTCCCTCAAAATGACACGCTGGCATGGGAAGACGGCCTCTGTCTAGACAGAAACTTAGTCTTTGATGGAACTTACGACTGCAAGGACCTGTCAGACGAATCCTTTCTGTGGTAGGTCGCACACAAAGACCCACACGCTACACCAACAGTGCCACGGATTAAAAAGGCACGCAGTGCCATAAAAAAAAGCATGTTGTAAGCTTTTGTACAACCTAGCACTGATAGGCACTACAGCTCTTCACTTTCCATTATTATCCCTGATGTCAATATTCCCACCCTTATTACTAAAGTCGACTATTATCCTTGACATCAGTATTACATCAATGTCCAGCACCCCTAGCTTACTGAGGTACACTGTTACCTGTGACATCAATGTTGCATCAGGTAAACTATTATTACCTGTGACATCAACATTGCACCAACCGTCCAGCAACCCAGTATGCTGAGATCAACTATTGCACGTTCCAGCAACTCTTGCATGCAACCTCTGGCTTTCTCCCTGCTTGATTGAAAGCTCCATCTTCCCTACGCCTACCCTCCACACCTCCTGGACTTTAAGACAATCTATATGTGCATATATATATATATATATATATATATATATATATATATATATATATATATATATATATATATATATATATATATACTATCAATTATCTACTTTTATGTAAATATTTATTAAGTGTAACCATGTTTAGGTTCATCCATCATGTGCTGCAAGTTATATGAGGTTCAGTAAAAATAAGCATTTTATGAGATTATTGAGTTTTGTTTGTCATAGTGGTGATTTTAATAAATTATTATCTAGCTACATTAATTCACTGTATAGATTATCATTTGGAATTCAGTTACGTGTACCAATACAGACACACACACACACGTGTGAGTGTATTATTGTCAGTTTAACGTATAAAGTAGAGCTCACTTAACTATTCATTTTAACATTTCAAGTCATCTTTATCACGCCATCTATCATTACCTCCCCCCTTCCTCATATGAGCTCTTGACTCACATGGTCCACAACCTTCCCCCCAACCTCAATGAGTCCACAGTCACCCTCAACCCATCCACCTCCATCACCCACACTAATCTTGACCACCTCGACACCTGCAGATATCCTCAACGACCCAAACAGTGCTCCTCCCTGCAATCCGGAGGAGTGCACACTCCCTGACTGCTTCTGCTACAACAGTCCTAACGAGGTAAGTGTTGCCTCTGATTTCTTAGAGGCAAAAGTAATAATTCATAATTACTATATCAATGCCGCTAGATCAAATATTATTGATGTAATTCGGAACTCACGGTTCCTGCGACGGCGCTGGAGCCAATCGTATTGGCGTATGCCTTTCCATTGGAGACTTTCAGCGCCGTGGAGAGGGGGGGGGGACCTGCTGCATGGGTAACAGCTTCTCCCCCGAATCAACCTATCCTGGCTTTGCGCCCTGGTGAGGCCACTCCAGACCAGGCCGACACCAGAGTGCAACTCCATTGTCTCCTGAGACTGATTGGATGCCTACTATACTATACTAATTGTCAGGGAAAATGATCCCCCTCTTGTCTGTTTTAACGAAGTCATTAGAAGTTACAATACTCTTTCAAAACAATTCATTTTCTTTCTCTGAACTCACATTAAAAAGCTTCAGATGATATTCTGACTTCTCGCGAGCGATAGCATACCAACCAAGATGTAGCATTTTATCTTCATTACTGAAGAGCATACACAAGCACCCTTAAGGAGAGTTGACCAGACCACACACTAGAAGGTGAAGGAACGACGACGTTTCGGTCCGTCCTGGACCATTCTTGACTTGAGAATGGTCCAGGACGGACCGAAACTTCGTCGTCCCTTCACCTTCTAGTGTGTGGTCTGGTCAACATACTTTAGCCACGTTATTGTGACTCATCGCCTGCACCCTTAAAGAGACTGACATCGAGGCACTAAGATAATCTTCCTCTTACACTTATCTCCTTCTCCCCGGTAAAGATTCCACACAAGATGCAGCCGAGTAACGTCCCTCAGATGATCACCATCACCTTCGACGACGCCATCAACAACAACAACATGGATCTGTACCAGCAGATCTTCGAAGGGCGGTACAACCCCAACTCCTGTACCGTCAAGTCGACCTTCTTCGTGTCCCACAAGTACACTAACTACTCCGCCGTCCAAGAGATCCATCGCTTGGGACACGAAATCGCTGTCCACTCCATCAGGTGAGATTTAGAAAAGGTTTAAAGGAGATTATAGATTCAGGATTTAGAAGATAGAGATTTAGAACGTGTTTAGAGAGCAAGATGTGGTACTATTTAATACATATCACATTGTACGAGACACTAAATTACACGAGTAATCATGAATTTTTGCATTGAACGGATATTACTTATAAAATATAAAAGTTGAAAACAAACATATCTAAATATATATTTAGGTTTTTCTTAATAATAAAATATAAATGTGTATAGTAAAGGACCAGAAGTATAGCACAGATTAAAATTAAATAAAGGAATAAGGAGGTATAAACACATCCACTTGTCTGTTGGTGTATCTAACACATGTCTGTCTGTCCAGTCACAACGACAGCGAGAGCTTCTGGAGCAACGCGAGCACGGACGAGTGGGAGCGCGAGATGGCCGGCGGTCGCGTCATCGCTGAGCGCTTCGCTAACATCACCGATAGCTCCGTCATCGGGGTGCGCGCGCCCTACCTGCGCGTGGGCGGCAATAACCAGTTCAGGATGATGGAGAAGAACGCGTTCCTGTACGACTCGACCATCTCCGTACCCCTGCAGAACCCGCCGCTGTGGCCCTACACCCTGTACTACCGCATGCCCCACCCCTGCCACGGCAACTCCCAGAACTGCCCCACTCGCTCCTTTGCCGTCTGGGAGATGGTAATGAACGAGATGGATCGCCGCGAGGAACCTACCATCCAGGAAGAACTACCAGGCTGCGCTATGGTCGACTCTTGCTTCTCCAGCAAGCCCACCGGCGACCAGTTCTACCAGTTCCTTCAGAACAACTTCGACCGCCATTACCTAACCAACCGCGCCCCTCTAGGTCTCTACTTCCACTCCGCCTTCCTCAAGAACAACCCTGAAATCCTGGACGTCTTCCTCTACTGGCTGGACGAAACACTGCAATCCAACAAGGACGTATACTTCGTAACGATGACCCAGGTGATTCAGTGGATACAGGACCCCGTCGCCATCAACCAACTCCAGAACTACGAGCCCTGGAAGGAGAAGTGTGACCCCGCCGGCCCTCCCTTCTGCTATGGCGGCACTAACTGCGAACTGAGCACCGACGAACTCCCATCAGAGACTATACGTCTCAACACCTGCATGCGCTGCCCTAACAAGTACCCATGGCTAAAGGACCCCTTGGGCGAAGGTTACTTCTAAACTACCGTAAACTGCCCTGCTGTGACCTGCTCCCCTGGGAGAGCCCGGCCCCCTCCCCCCGGGGTGCAGCTTCTTATATGTAAATATTGTTTTATAATTTGTACATGATTGTGTCTAGGCAAGAATCGTCGCGTTCCGGACAGACATTTGTCTGTCAAGGCCGTGGCGTAGGGTACCGCTGCTCCAGCACGGTACCATGACAAGAGTATGGAACCATGACAAAGTATGGTACCATGAAAGATCACGGTACCATGACAAGCGCGGTACCATGACAAGCAGGGGGCAGATCTACCACTGCCGGGGCCCAGCCGAGGCCGCATCCCGCGCGGGGCTCTTCCCTTGGATCCGGGAGCCCGCGGCGGCCCCTTCATATTTATTGGAGCTGGAGGTGCCCTTTTTTCCCCCCCCCCTTTGCTGTGGCCGCCCCCACCACAGGCCATCCCAGGCGGCCATTACCTACACACATCTGAGGTCTTACCTACCTGTGATCATCGTCTAGAAATATAGAGTCACTTGTTTTACCTTCCATATTATGTTTAATGTTACCCAATAAAAAACATTATTCCTCTCTTATTCTTTTATTGACTTTAATATCCACAAGAAAAATCCCCTGATTTATCTTTCGACAAGCCACATAGCACTTGGATGGGGGTTAGGAGAAGGATTTGGGATGGGACGGAGGGGAAAGGAATGGTGCCCCAATCACTTATGGACGGTCGGGGATTGAACGCCGACCTGCATGAACACATGATACCTATCTTGTGTAGCTTCCGGGTAGGTAGGTAGGTAGGTAGGTAGGTAATGATACATTATGTATACACGCTTAAATGCTGTGAGTTTCTTTGTTAATCCTCGCTTCTGAATGGTTGTGAGTCTGTATCACCCTTGCCTCTGAATGGCTGTGAGTCTATGTCACCCTTGCTTCTGAATGGCTGTGAGTCTGTGTGTCACCCTTGCCTCTGAATGGCTGTGAGTCTGTGTCACCTTTGCTTCTGAATGGCTGTGAGTCTGTGTGTCACCTTTGCCTCTGAATGGCTGTGAGTCTATGTCACCCTTACCTCTGAATGGCTGTGAATCTGTGTCACCCTTGCCTCTGAATGGCTGAGTCTATGTCACCCTTGCTTCTGAATGGCTGTGAGTCTGTGTGACACCCTTGCCTCTGAATGGTTGTGAGTCTGTCACCCTTGCCTCTGAATGGCTGTGAGTCTATGTCACCCTTGCCTCTGAATGGCTGTGAGTCTCTGTCACCCTTGCCTCTGAATGGCTGTGAATCTGTGTCACCTTTGCCTCTGAATGGCTGAGTCTATGTCACCCTTCCTTCTGAATGGCTGTGAATCTGTGTCACCCTTGCCTCTGAATGGCCGACAATCTTCTCACAACAATTCATGAAAGATTCTGTGCCCCCCCCCCCTCCCCAGTCTTTCATGAGTCTGTAACCATAAGAAAAGGTTAAGAACTCTTACTCTAGAGCCTAAAGACTTCCTGAGACATCTTCAGACGTAAATTGTTCAGAGTATCAACCCGATTTATTAATGGTTTCCATGGTTTGTCATATTTTGTTCAGTTTCTATGGTTAGAAATTGGTAGGTCTATTAACTGCCCAATTTGAGATGCTTGAGGACCTCTGTGCTTAATGGCGGGATCATATCTGCTTGAAAGGTCAGTCTGGAGCAATCTCATCCGTCAATTTCATCCTACAGTCCTATTCTACAGTCTCATTCATCAATCTCATCCTACAGTCCTATTCTACAGTCTCATCTATAAGTCTCATTCTTCAATTTCATCTTGCAGTCTCACCCCATCAATCTCATACTTCAGTCTCATTCTTCTGCCTCATCCTTCAATCTTATCTTTCGGTCAAATACACCAGTCTCATCCTTCAGCCTCATTGTCCAATCTCATCCATCAGTCTCACCCTCCAGTCCAATCCTTCAGTCCCATCATGTAGTCTCATCCTTCAAGGTCATCTTTAGTTGTTGTCTTATAGTATCATCCCTTCGTCTCATCCATTCAGACTCATCCTCCAATCTCATCCTTCAGCGTCATCACCTTCCCTCTCCTTCATCACCTTCTCTAGCTTTCACCACTTTCTATACCCTTTACTACCTTCCCAACCCTTCATCAACTTCCGTACTCTTCACTCACATTCCTTTCATCACTATAACCATCTTTAATACACATCCTCCATCCATAAATGAGATATGAAAGATAAACTAAATTTATTACTGAGAAGCATTGGAACAACTGTATAGGTCACACAGAAAATATATTATGATCAATATAAAAGTCTAGGGGACTCTCATCAAACATTTCACACATGACTGTGAAAATCGCATAGGAGGGGGGTCTATAAATGCTGATATTTATTAAAGTATTAAACTTGGACCTACCCTGACCAGCCTACGTCAGTACCGCTCCTAAGACTATCCCCTTGCAAAGTTGGATGAGACTAGCCCCGAGCGTCGAGCCTACAATTCTGGTTAGACAGTTTTATAATTTCACACACACACACACACACACACACACACATATATATATATATATATATATATATATATATATATATATATATATATATATATATATATATATATATATATATATATATATATATATATATATATATATATTGTGCAAAAGGCCATCATTTCTATAATGTCGCTATCTACCCAGGATCAAATTATTACCCAATACCCGTTATTAGTAACTTCATACTAAATTTTTTGTGTTTTGTTAGATCCGAATATGTGAACTCACCTAGTTGTACTTCGCGGGAATTGAGCTCCAGTTCCTGGGCCCAGCTTTTTACCACTAGTTATGAAAGAGTGTATGAAGTCAGGGCTCCATTTTTTTACTGCCTCGTTCCACTTATTATCAATAACGGTGCACATTCTTCCTTCTGCCCCCCTTAAGTGATCTAGATGTTCACTTTCCATCCGTGTGTTCCCCTCTACGTCCTCCTGACCTTAACCACTATGTCCTGTACTCGTGCCCCGCCTGATGTGGCCCACGATACCCTGAAATGTTCTGTAAGTAATGATAATATATTCGTTATGGGTTTTTTCTGTGTTGAAGAATATCTTCAGTCTTATCTTCTGGTACAGCACCAAACGTGAGGGTGTGTGTACTCACGTGTTTGTAATTGCGGGGGTTTGGCTCTTTGGTCCCGCCTCTCAACCGTCAATCAACTGGTGTACAGATTCCTGAGCCTACTGGGCTCTATCATATCAACATTTAAAACTGTGTATGGAGTCAGCCTCCACCACATCACTGCCTAATGCATTCCATGTGTGTGTGTGTGTGTGTGTGTGTGTGTGTGTGTGTGTGTGTGTGTGTGTGTGTGTGTGTGTGTGTGTGTGTGTGTGTGTGTGTGTGTATGTGTGTGAGTGATAGTGGAGGGTTGAATACCAACTCTTAAGTCTTGTTCTGTTGTCAGTCACCTGCTCCATGGCTGCCAATCTCGTGCCTCATATTATGCCTGTTTATAATACTATAAACGGAGAGAACTCCACTTCTCTCTCGCCTCACTTGCTCTCTGTTCTCACACCAAAGACAGATAGCATAGTTGGCTGCCTATAGTAGGGGGGCCTGACAGCTGAGTAGACAGCGCTACGGATTCGTAGTCCTGAGGCTCCGGGTTCGATCCCCGGTGGAGGCGGAAACAAATAGGCAGGGTTTCTTTTACCCCGATGGACCTGTTCACCTTGCAGTAAATAGGTACCTGGGAGTTAGACAGCTGCTACGGCCGGCTTGCTGATGGAGTGTAACAATAAGGAGGCCTGGTCGAGGACCGGGCCGCGGGGACGCTAAGCCCCGAAATCATCTCAACATAACCTTCTTAGCTCACAATCCTGGATTCGATCCCCGGGCGGAACATAAATGGTTGGGCACTTTTACTTTCACTTAATGCCTTAAGTACCCAGGAGTTAGGCAACTGTTGTGGGTTGCATCCTGGGGAAGGTTACTAGTTCGACCTTGGGGGGGGGACCTCAATACATTCCTAAAGTATATGTATGTACACAGGCTTCGTGTCCCCGACAACGGAATTATTATATAAATATGCCTTTGATTTGGATCTCTAGCTTCCACCCATGCCCTCTCATTCTTCAGTTTCTCCTTCTGAACATATTTGGCAACACCTCCCAGTTACTGCAATATTATCATCAGTTGTCGAGTGCCTTTCCATTGGAGACTTTCAGCGCCGTGGAGGGGGGGGGACCTGCTGCATGGGTAACAGCTTCTCCCCCGAATCAACCTACCCTGGCTTTGCGCCCTGGTGAGACCACTCCAGACCAGGCCGACACCAGTGTGCAACTCCATAGTCTCCTGAGACTGATGGATGCCTACTATTACTACTACTGTCACTCTTGTCTCAGAATTGTGAGGATATGTTCCACATATCCTCATATCATCTTGGACGAGTCTTGAGGCAAACATCTTGACGATTTAAATCCAAGATAAACAATGTACTAGACAAGTCATGACAAACGACACTAAGATACAATAAGACCCGAATCGACAATGAGAATTGTCGATGTGTTCGATGTGCATTCTCAAGACGATCGACTTGAGAATGGTCCAGGACGGACCGAAACGTCGTCGTCCCTTCACCTTCTAGTGTGTGGTCTGGTCAACATCTAATCATGATTATTATGCCACACAACTCTTGAACACAAGTCAGTATCCAATTAATATATCCATAAAGCTTACCGTTATACCCAGGACATCTTTCATCCTGTCGTGGCCAGGAAGCAGAGGTTGAAATTGAAATTGAAATAAGTTTATTGAGGTAAAATAGCAGAGGTTGCAGAGTTTGTCTGTGTGTAAACAAAGAGCGCAGGGAACACTTGGGGGGGTTTCCAGTGTTTTATGTAGCAAAGAGGGAAAAGAGGGGAGGCATATCTAGGGAGGAAAGTGTCATACACGATAGTGTAGCAGGGGAGAAATGTGTCAGGGAAGGAATGTGTCTGTGTCTAGATAGAAATGTATTAGAGAGAAAAATGTCTTACTGGCAAAAGTAGAGAAAAAAGAGAGAGTGTAAATGCTTAACATCCATGGGGAATAGATTGTAGCCGCAACGACAGAGAACCATCTTAAAATATGTCCTGCCTTCCCCTCCTCCCCCCCAAAAAAAAACCTGTAGTTTGCCTGTAGCTAATTTCAAGAGTTCTGTTCCCAAGGCCCTGTCTGAGGTAAGCTTCGCCAGAATTGTTGCCTAAGCGGCTCTCAGCCATACATATCCACCACAACTCGGTTGGTTTAGTTCCTCTTACAGGAATTTGTCCAATAAATATTAACACGGTATTAAATATCTCAACGCAAAATTGAACACCGAACAACGGGTTTAAACTGGATAAATCTAGATTTAGGAAAGACCTGGGTAAATACTGGTTTGGGAACAGGGTTGTTGATTTGTGGAACAGGTTAACGAGTAATATAATAGTCGTGGGAGCATTTGATTGTTTCAAACGTAGGTTAACGTTGATTCGAATGGCCTGGTACCCTGGCCATGACCTGACCCCTGGTAATCTGGCCCTCAGCTGACACCTGGTAACCTGGGGTCAGATT